ACCACTGGACTAGAGCCATTATCGACTGGATTCCATGGGATGTCAAAAGATTGCGTGGCTGCCCACTTACGAAATGGTCAGACTTCTTCATCAAGACCCTGAACGATCGGTTTGAGGCTCTTCATGTGCCTAGGACGAGCAGACGCCATTGGGCTACAATAGCACGCGACAGGGACAGATAGAGACGTTACTGGTGCCCGATCAAGCAAATTGATGAGTCACGGGAGGTCAAGTGAGCAAGTGATCAAATAACATAGCAAACCAATAACACTAACATAATGAGCAAGGCTGATTGATGAGTTTGTATAGCTGAGCCAGAGGTGGTTCGTGGGTGTGGCTCCCACATACCTAACTTTCAGCGACTTCTCGGAAAACTTGGTCCTGAGTTGTTGGAGTCTGGCCAGAGGCATAACAGTGATTTGGGGGTGTCAGGCAGCCTAAGGGCACCATCAGGCTGCTGATGTCTCTACCCTCCCTATCCCCCCCCCCCCCATGTTGTGGCACTGCTCCCTCTGGGCCCCAGTGACAGCGGTGGTTGCTCTCATTTGTGGCTCAGAAACTCTGGGTGAGCCATAGTCACCAGTGCAAGTGCAACAGACCCTGCCCAGGGGGCACAAGCCCCCTCCTCAGTCTCCAGACAATTGGCACTCAGAGAGCTTTTCCTACATAATATGCTGAGGGCGGTACAGGCTGGTCCAAGGAAGAAATGATGGCAGGGACCCTCTGCTGGCAGAGTTGCCTGAGCTGGTCTCCCATGGTGGGAACCCGGGTGTCCCTTCAACTCCTGGGCCTGCGCTCCATGGTGGCACCAAGCTGAAACCGAAGAGCCCTATTCATTCACGCTAAACTTCAACCACCAAGGCAGGCTGGCTGTCCTTAGCGCCAAGAGGTGCGGTAGCTCCTGTATGGGGTTATGGAGTCTGTGGGCACTGCTGCCATCGTCACAAGTCCCACTTTGCCTGGCATTCTGCAGCAAGCACCAGTTTGGTTCGACTTAAAGCCACCCTTTTTGAGAAACAGTATTTAAAGGCCACTTACAGTCATTCATGCAGAAATGTTATGACCCCGTTGGTTCCATTGTTCAGAGCACTGAAGCTGCAGCACTGAGGTTCTGCTGGCTTTTGCCCCTGCTGCCACCATCTGGGGACTGTCCACTCTCAGTCTTAAAATGGTAGTTCTTTCTGGGGCTGGAGTGATAGCACAGCGGGTAGGACATTTACCTTGCATGCGACCGACCCGGGTTTGATTCCCAGCATCCCATGTCCCCTGAACACCGCCAGGAGTAATTCCTGAGTGTAGAGCCAGGAGGAACCCCTGTGCGTCACTGGGTGTGACCCCAAAAAACAAAACAAAAAAGAAGGTAGTTTTTTCTTCATCCAGTCTTAAGAGCCAAACCATTTATTTCGGCACTTTACAGTCAAACCATTTCAGGAAATCAACAAATACTTGTTTTGTCCCTTACCTGGTTAAAGGCAGACAATCGTGTTTGTTCAGCTGGATCAACGCCTCTTGTATGGGGAGCAGAAACAATGTCTTCTAATAGAAGAATACATGAAACAAGATTATTTGGATTTTTATTTTTTTCCAAAACTGGTTTTCTCGGGACTTACTCCTGCCTCTGCACTGCGATATCACTCCTGGCCATGTGGGATGGGGAGACGGGAGCAACCCTGTGGGGTGCCAGGGATCAAACCTGAGTCAGCTGCCTCAAGGCAAGGACCCTTCCCACTGTGCTGTCTCGCCAGCCCCAAAGCGAGATAGTTTTTATTGAACCAAATTTACTCAGCGAGAGAGGCACCAAATATACTTAAATTGTGAGGGGAGAGAAAGAAAGGAGAGACTAAACAGACAGAGACACAGGCCTGGAAGAGCAAGTCAGACCGACCTTTTATATGTATTACACTGGCATTATGTGGTACCAGGCAGCAAACCTGATCTCACACCTGCCTTCCAGCCCTTTGAGAGATTTCCCAGGCCCCCTACAATGGTCAATGTTGTCCATGCGAGGTCGCCCAGGAAATGAGCTCCAACAGCTTCTCTAGAGCAATGGTTCTGGCCCCCAGACTGTTTCCTTCCTGTGGCCCCTCTGTCCCGCCTGCTGGCCCCCAGTCTCTTGCTGTGTCCCCTACCCACCCGGCTGATACTTGTTTTTTCACCTGTGGCATTTCCTGGGGCCCACGGCAGGATGTGGGGCCCTGGGATGAAGAAACCTGCTCTGAGGGTGCTGTCATTTGAGTTCCTTTCTGGGGGGGTCGAGAGGTCTGATTCCAAGAATTGGGGTTCAGCCCAGTGTACACAGCTGCCCCCCAGCCCCCCAGGAAGGAAGTATCCTGAGCTGCTGGGCCAATCATCATTACTCTCGGTGCCAACCGCCTGGCAATTGGAAGCAATCCAATCCAGTTTTATACTGCATGGAAAAGCAAATGAGGGTCGGAGCGATAGTACAGCGGGTAGGGTGTTTGCCTTGCACGCGGTCGACCCAAGTTCAATTCCCGGCATCCCATATGGTCCCCAGGAATAACTCCTGAGTGCAGAGCCAGCAGTAACCCCTGAGCATCTCTGGGTGTGACCCAAAAAGCAGGAAAAAAAAAGAAGAAAGAAAAGTAAAGGAAATGAGAAGGATTTTGTGGATATCATTTGACACTAAGATAAATAAGAGCATCGACAGTTACTCCCAGGAACAAAGCCAGGAGGAGGCGCTGAGCACCAGTGCATCTGGCCAACACCAGAAAAGAATCACTATCATTATCCCTATCACCCCGTTGTTCAACGATTTGCTCGAGTGGGCGCTAGTAATAATCTCCATTCATCCCTGTCACGTGCTAGTGTAGCCCAATGGTATATTGGGGGTTCTTTCAGGGTCAAGGGAATGAAGACCATCACTTACTGTTTTTGGCATATCGAGTACACCACGGGTAGCTTGCCAGGCTCTGCCATGTGGGCAGGATACTCTCAGGTAGCCTGCCGGGTTCTCCGAGAGCAAGAACTAGACAATAAGAGGTCTAGATAATAAGCTTCCGGGAACTTGGTTTTAAAGTCTCTGGATCTTGACCATTGATGGGGTTAAACAGCAGTTGTAGGGTGTAACTGTCTAGCTAGTGGAAGATGGGGTATCTGGGTGGAGGAAGCCCAGTCCTGATCCGAGCAGGCTTGGAAATCTCAGCCCTGGTCCCGCACACCTGGGTTCCTCTGCCGGTTCCTTCATGCGTGAGGCCCGTCCTAGCGTGTGGAGAGTGGTCTCAGCATGGCTGTGGCTGGGTCCTGGAGGTCTTCAGCTGCCGGGGCTCTGCTCAGGGCGGAGAGGGAAACTCAACCCGCCCCCATCCAAGGGGCCCTGGTGAGGACAGCCAGGCGTGGAGGCAGGAGACTCTGCATTGTTCTCCTCTGGGAGCTTGGTTTTATAGTCTCTGGATCTTGGCGTTGATGGGGTAATTCAATATAACGATTATCAGTTTGCATTATTTCAAGGTTCAGGATAGAGTATATACAATATATTCAAAGGCCAAGGAGAATTTTAGGCCAAGGGAGAGAGCAGCAGCCTGAGCCCATGCTGTGCACTCAGGGGGCCCGAGTGTCAACCTCAAGGAGCACCTTTTGACCCATGCTGGGTATGACCTGGAAAGGGAAAAAAGGAACCAGAGATTTCTAGACAAAAGAGAAAAAATTGGGGGCGGGTGGGTTGGGGGCTGGAGAGATGGAACAGTGAACAGGGTGCTTGCCTTGCGTGTGGCCAATCTGGCTTTGATCCCCAGTACCCAGTGCCAAAAGTAAGTCCTAAGTGCAGAGCCAGGAGTAACTCCTGGCATTTTCAGGTGTGGTCCCCAAACAAAAAGCAAACAAAAAAAATGGGGAGGCAGTGGTGGGAGCTCTTTGGAAGGAGAAAGAATGATGAGGTCTTGATCAGATGGTGGATTCAGGAAAAGTTCAACTTGATAGTCTTTTAAAACGAAGTCTTGGTATTGTTGGTTTATTGGAATATTGCTGATTATTTCCCTAATGTGGGACCTGGTGCAGCTCCCTATGTTTAATCCCAAGCACCAAAGGGAAAATAGTAATTTCTCTTTAGTTTTTTGGGGGGTGAGGTGTAGGGGGCTTGGGGTCACACCCTGCAGTATCAAGGATTACTCCTAGCTGTCATTCCTGGTAGTGCTCAGGACCACTTGGACTTTTTTCTTGACTCTGTACCCAAGCATCACTCTTTTTTTTTGGGGGGGGGGGTGTCACACCCGGCAATGCCCAGGGGTTACTCCCGGCTTTGCGCTCAGGAATTACCCCTGGCGGTGCTCAGGGGACCATATAGGATGCTGGGAATCGAACCCGGGTCAGCCGTGTGCAAGGCAAACTCCCTACCCGCTGTGCTATTACTCCAGCCCCCAAGCATCACTCTTGAAGAGGTTCAGAGACCAGATGTGGTGCCCGCGATCAGCCCGCGTGGGCTGTATGTAAGACAAGCACGTTACCCAGGCTACTGTGTCTTCAGTCCCTGGAGTTTCATTATTTTATTTTTTTCTATAATTTTTATTTTCATATTTTTTTTATTTTTGGAAATATCTGGCAGTGCTCAGAGCTTAACCCTGGAGCCACACTTGGTTTGCTCTGGGGTAACTCCTGGCTCTGTGCTCAGGAGTTACGCCTGGCAGTGCTCGGGGGACTATGTGGAATGCCGGGAATCGAACCGGGTCGGACGCTTGCAAGGCAACTGCGCTACCAGCTGTAGGATCGCGCCGACCCCCAATTCGGACGAGGGTCCCAGGTGCGTCCCCGCCAGCTGCCCGCGCCCCCACGCCCGTGCTCCTCGCGCCCGCGCCCCCGGACTCGCCCGCGCTCCTCCGCGCGCCTGCGCGCTGCGGTGTGGGCGGGGCGAGTGTCGGCCCCGCCCCACGCCCGTCAGAGTCCCCGCCCTCGCTCCTTGACGCGCCTGCGCGCCGCGGCTGTGGGCGGGGCGAGTAACCCCCCCCCCCCCCCCCGCCGCGGGGGCTGGTTTTTCTCGCCGACGGCGCGGGACCCGGCCAGTGCGGCAGCTGGACGTGCGGCAGCATGAGTGCAGGCGCGGACCCCGTGGTCATCGTGTCGGCGGCGCGCACCGCCATCGGTGAGTGGCCGCGGCCCCCGCGGGTTCCGAGCGCGGGTCCGGCCCGGCGGCGGCAGCGGAGGAACTCCCCGGCTCCCGTGCCACGCGCCCACCAGGGACCTTGGGCAGCCCGGGACCCTCCCGCGGTGGGGCCCCGCCCATTCGCGGCTGCGATTGGCCGGCCGGGTAGAGACATCGCGGCGCGCGGCTCTCCCATTGGCCGTCGCGCAGAGGCGGTGTCTCGCGAGGGCGCTGATTGGCCGGCCCGGGCAAGGTCAGCTCAGCACTGAGGCTGCAGCGGGCGGAGCGAGCGGGTGGGCCGAGGGGCCGCGCGGGGTGGGCGGCGGCCGGGGTCGGAGCGGCGCGGGCTCGGCGCGGCCCCTGGACCGAGGGTCGGCCGCCCGTGGGGCGCTCCCGGCCGGCCCGCGGCTCCGGAGGGGCGCGGGGCGATGGACGGGGCCCGCCACCCTCACCCGCCCGGCGCCCCCTTGTGCCCTAGGTTCATTCAATGGGGTCCTGGCCACGGTTCCTGTGCACGAACTGGGCGCCACCGTCATCAGGGAAGTCCTGAAGAGGGCCGCCGTGGCGCCCGAAGATGTGTCCGAGGTCATCTTTGGACACGTGCTGCCCGGAGGTACCTGCCCGACGCGCGCGGGTCGCGCCCCCCGATGCCCCCCGTCGGTGCCTGCCGCCCTCCCCCGGTGGCCCCAGCCCTGCTCTCACGCTTCCCACAGTGACCTAGAGCATCACCCAGCCCGTGGGCTTCATTCTTGGACACGCCGCCATGGCGAGGATGAGGATCCCAGGCTTGACCCTTTCGGGTGTCACCCAGTCCAGAACAGTGCACCCAGCGCGGTGCAGGTGCTGTAGACTCAGGCCCGGCTGCCCGGGCATTTTCCTGGGAGCCTGAGAGGGCATGGGTCTCGGCTACAGAGTGAGCCAGGACACGGCCCCAGGTGTGGGGCAATGTGCCCTGGAGTCCAGATACCAATACCAAAGTCCAATATCCGAACTGCAACTAGCGCAGGAGAGTTAGGACAGGAGAGTAAGGCATGCAGCTGGCCTGGGTCCAGTCCCATGCTCCATATATGTTCCGTGCAGGTGTGATCTCTCAGTAGAGCAGCAGGAATAGCCCTTGAGTTCCTCTGAGTATGGCCAACTACTCCTTCCCCCATCCTCCTCCCCACCCCCTCAGTAAAAAACAACACCTCATCAATTTCTTTTGCTTTTTCTTTTTTTTTTTTAATTTTTATTAGTGAAACACCATGAGGTACGGTTTTAGACTTACAAATTTTTGTGCTTGGGTTTCAGTTATACAGTGATCGAGTACCCATCCCTCCACCAGTGCCCATTCTCCACCACCAATGATCCCAGTATTCCTCCCACCCCCCATCCCCCCATCCCACCCTACCTCTGTGGCAGGGCATTCCCCTATGTTCTCTCTCTCCTTTTGAGTGCTGTGGTTTGCAAAAGAGACATTGAGTGGCAGTCATGTTCGGTCTATAGTCTGCTCTCATCACGCATCTCCCATTCTGGGAGGAACCTCCCAACACCCTTTGTTTGGTGCTCCCTTCTTTTTCTTTTTGTTCATTATTCCTGGCCCTGCGCTCAGTTACTCCTGGCAGCGCTCTGGCTATATGGACTGCCGGGGATCGAACCTGCCTGAGCTGTGCTGCAAGGCAAATGTCCCGGCCACCGCTGCACTGTCACTCCAGCATACTAATTTCATGGCTGGAAAGACAGCTCAAGACGCTGAGCACATGCTTTGAAACTGGAGGACCAGGTTGAATGTCAGACACTGTGGCACTGCCAGGTGTGACCACTGGGTATAGCCCCAAAACACATTCAAGAGCAACCGCAATACTTTTTCACAATTCTTGTCCCAGGAGTCAAATCCTAGGAATTGTAATCATTCCTAGGATATTCTCCTTACCTCCCTAAAACCTAGACTATTTTCTTTGTTTTTTTTTCTTTTTGTTTTTTCCCATTTGGGGGCACGCTCCTGGCTCTGCACTTAGGAATCACTGTTGGTGATACTCAGGGATTATGGGATGCCAGGGATCAAATCTGGGTCGGCCACATGCAAGGCAAACACCCTACCTGTTGTACTATCGCTCCAACCCCTCATTTTCCTTATTTTCACTCTGTTCTTCCTCATGCCTGTCACGTTCTCCACATGACATGAAGTCTCTTAAAGTTCAGTTATGCTTACCACTTTCATGATTCTCCAGAGCTCTGATATTGGGGCGGGTGGCTTAGTTCAGGCCATAATCTGTCTCCTGTCTTGGACCTTGACCGAAATCTGCTACGTTGACCTGAGGTATAAAGAAACTAGGGAGTCCTTTTATCGAAACTTTTCAGAGGAGTGATGAAACTCAAATGAGGCGAAGAAGTGATCGCAGGCACACTGGGATGCTGGCAGTTGTCCCCACATCTCTCCTTTCCGTAAGCCCAGGATCCCTCCACAAGCGTGCTGCAGGTGTTGACAGTGTGCCCACTGTGTACCCGGTGCTTTTGATAGCTACATGGCATGCAGATCCTTGTTCACTGTGCATAGCACCCTTTTTTTCCCCTAACCTGCAGATGGTGCATATGAGTCATCTAGAAATTACTTTCTGAAATGCCTCTGTGATTCACTATACTTGTAAAGCCAGGGCATTTTACTAATGTCCACTTAATTCAGTAGACCTTGCAGTGCTCAGGGTTTTACTCCAGGCTCTGTTCTCAGGATCATTCCCTGCAGTACTTTGAGAACCATATGTGGTGCTGGGGATAGAACATGGTAGGCCACTTATGAGGCAGACGGACACCTTATCCCTATACTATTCAGGCAAGTTAGAGGATTTTTTTGATTTTTATTTTTGAGCTACACCCAGCTGTGCTTTGGCCTTATTCCTAGCTCTTGGCTCATTCTCAGGGTTCACTCCTGGTGGGACTCAGGGGACCATGTGTAGTGCTAGGACTTGAACCCAGGTTGGCCTGCTGTTTGATACTGCCTCTCCAGCCCCTCAGAGAATGAGAAAACTTTTTTGTGTGTGCATTAATGAAGAGAAACAGTACAGCAGGCAAGACCTGTGTTTAATCCCCGGTACCCCATGTGGTTGCCTGAGCACTGCCAGATATGGCCTCCTAAACAAGAAAACAAAACATAAAGGTCTTTTGTGCCACATGCAGTGGTGTTCTGGAGGGTCACTTTGTCCTAGTGCTCTGGGTCATCTGGCAATGCTCAGGGAATTACCTGCAGTACCAAGGCTAAACCCAGACTCCTGCAAGCCAAGCAGAACTCTCTCCTGTTAATTATCTCTTCAGCTCACGATACCATCTTTGATTTTCAGCCATACCTGACAGTATTCCAAATTCTCTTTTTTTTTTTTTTAATTCCCCCGCCTTCCCATGGATTCACTCTTGATGGTGTTCAGGGGACCATATGTGGTGCTTGGGACTGAATTAGGGTCAGCCATAGTACATGGCAAATGCCTTAGTCTCGATTCCATTTCTCCGGCCCCTTTATACTATCTTTTAAATAATTTTTTCTATGGATATTTTTTGTCTCTGGTGACTTTTTTAATTAAGAAACTTTAAAACTTTTTTTTGTAAGCATTTGCTCAGGGCTAACTCCTGGCTCTGCACTCAGGGATCACTTATAGCTGTGCTTGCTTAGGGGACCATATGGGGTGTCAGGAATTGAACCTGGTTCCTTGTGCAAGGCAAATGCCCTACCTGCTTTACTCTTGCTCCAACCCCCAGTCTCAGGTAACTGTTTTGGTTTCCAGTAAAACCTCTGATTAATAGCACTATGATGAATATTCAATCGACAGTTTTGCCTGACCGGTGTCACTGTTGTCCCAAAATTCCAAACTAGATGGAACACTGTCTCCTTCGTGCAAAATTCTACTTCACAGAGTGGGGAGAAAGGGCTGCAAAGTTTAAGAAGAGAACTCCCCTATGCATTGATCCAGGCCATCAAGTCTGCCGGAGGGGAAAGGGTGTTGCCCCATTCGCCCTCTCCTCTCTGGAAAGAAAGATGGCGGCCACATGGGAGCCTTGTGGACAGCAGGTATGAGCCGGGAGTGTGGGGGCGACTAAAACCTCATGGGAAGGGGGGCGTTTCGCTCCGCCCTTCACGCCCTACCGAGGCCACCGGTTGCCCCCCGCGAGCGGCTCTCCAGCACGGCCAGGACTCCAGAACACAGAAACCAATTTCTTAACTATCTGACTTTCAGTAGAAATACTTCCAGGGTCAATAGGTAAAAGAGCAGAAATCCAAAACCAACATTTAGTTCTTGAACCCAGCCTTAGAAAGCAAATCACTTCACAATGCTTTTTCAGCATGTCTGATTTGGGGGGGGGGGTAAACTCTAAATAATAGTGGTGAATCTTTTATTGAAACAATGAATCTAATCAAAGCAGATAGAGTGTTAACTAGAATTCATCTGCCTCACAGGGACGGGGAGGGGTGGGGGTGGGGTTTTATTGGGGTTCTTCATGGTAAAAAATAAGTATTGGTAAAGGGAAATGTGTTTGATATTTGCATGACTGAGACATAAACCTGAAAGCTTTGTAACCTTTCCCACAGTGATTCAATAAATAAATAAAAAATAAATAAATAAATAAATAAATAAAAAAAAAAAAGAAGAGAACTCCCAGAACGACCACCAACTGGGAGCTCTTTGGCACTATTACGGCAACATGGGAAGATGCCGTCGTTGACAACACTGACGAACAATACGATCGACTGGTTCAGCACCTCCATGATTGTGCGAGGAATGCCCAGAGAGAGACAGCCACAAAAAGATGCCTGTGATGCCTGTCTTTGGAAACTCTTGAGCTCATTTGTCAAAGTGGCTTGGCGCAAGCCTCAGGCAACTGCAAGCGAACATCTGAGCTTGCAAAACAGTGCAGAGAAGCTATAAAAGAAGACCTCAAAGAAAGAAGAGCAACAGTGATGGCAGATGCAGCAGAAGCCAGGAAAAGCATTCGCAACGCCCGCCTGTCCTTCGCCAACTACAAGACTGAGGTGACTGCCGCCGAAGTGCTGATGGATCTATCACATCTTCCAGAAGGGCAATGGAGAAGAGTATCCATGACTTCTACTCGGATCTCTTCAATAGCTACGTCCACCTGCCCACATACCAAATTCCACAGGATAGATATGTCGTAGCCAAAGTTCTCCCTTCCGAAATCCAACACGCCATTTTGTCGGTAAAGAAGCAAACAGCACCCAGCCCGGACAAGGTCAGACCTGAACACCTGAAGAACCTGCCGTCAGTTCTCATCAATACACTGGCTCAGCTCTTCACACGCTAGCTGTCTGAATGCAAGGTTCTGTCCCAATGGAAAACCAGCAGGACTGTTCTGCTGTGCAAGAAGGGAGATATCCATGCATTGGCAAGTATCGCCTGATCTGCCTATTATCTGTCATCTACAAGCTGTTCACTCGAGTCATCCTGAATAGGATTAGCAGAACACTAGATGCAGGCCAACCATGCGAGCAAGCCAGGTTCCACAAAGGATTCAGCACAATCGACCATATCCACACAATAACCAAGCTCATTGAGGTTTCTCAGGAGTTCAAGATGCCGCTCTGTCTAACGTTCATTGATTTAAAGAAGGCCTTTGATTCTGTTGAGACGGAAACGGTCATTGAAGCCCTAGCCATTCAGGGCATTCAAACTCAATACATCAGGATCCTCCATGAGCTGTATTACGGATTCACTACCAGGATCTCACCATTCTACAAGGAAGTGATCATCCATGTCAAGAGAGGAGTTCAGCAGGGTGATACCATTTCACCGAAACTCTTCAGTGCCACCCTCGAGAACGTCATGCGACGACTGGAATGAAAAGGAATGCGAGTGAAGATAGACAGTCGGCAACTACACCACCTCTGCTTCGCTTATGACATCATTCTAATAACACCAAGCATCAGCCAAGCGGCACAAATACTGGCCAACGTCTATTGTGAGTGTAGAAAGGTCGGACTACAGCTGAATCTCATGAAGACAGCGTTTATGAGAAACCGTCTTGTTCCTGACGTTTCATTCACTCTCAATGGAACGACCATCTCCGAATACAACAGTTATGTGTACCTAGGTCGAGAAGTCAACATGACAAATGGCCTGGCACCTGAGCTGCGCAGGAGGAAGAGAGCGGCTTGGAACGCCTTCAAGAGCGTTGAAGAAATCGCTAAGAGGACAAAGAACTCTGGCTCTGGGCACATCGCTTCGATTCCACTGTTCTTCCTGCATTAACATACACCTCAGAGACCTGGGCTCTACGAAAACAGGATGAGAATGCTATCCAGGTCTCCCAAAGAGGAATTGAAAGAGCTATGCTTGCTGTTCTGCGTGTTCTTCACTCAGGTGAGAGAAGGAATCCGGAGTTCCAACCTCCGTCGACATTGAGAATCAGGGATACTATCTCGTTTGCCAAGGCGTCGAAAATTAGATGGGCTGGACACATAATGCGATTTGGAGACGACCACTGGACTAGAGCCATTATCGACTGGATTCCACGGGACGTCAAAAGATTGCGTGGCTGCCCACTTATGACATGGTCAGACTTCTTCATCAAGACCCTGAATGATCGGTTTGAGATTCTTCATGTTCCTGGAGTGAGCAGATGCCGTTGGGCTACACTAGCATGAGACAGGGACAATGGAGAAGTTACTGGTGCCCACTCAAGCAAATCGATGTGTAATTGTGTAATGGGATGTCAAATGATCAAGTGATGATGAATATACTCTCAAGTTTTTATCAGTGATCAGTTGTTTCTCCTAGTAACTGAATAAAGGAAGTTGATAGATCTGTTTGAACTTGCAATACAGTGACTACTGAATGAACATTGCTTCCCATAACACAGGAGTGACTGGGACTGTTAGAACCTCCCACACCTCCCCTTCTCTGTGGTTATGACATCAACTTCTGTTCTGAGAGAAGTCACCAATATTGAATTAAGAGAATTAAATTGAATTATTCGTCAGTTCTAATTTTGTACTTTTTTTTTTTTTTGGTGATGGAAGAGCTTCACTTTTTTTTTTGTTAGTTTTGGGGTCACACTTGGCAGTGCTCAGGGCTTACTCCTGACTCTGAGCTCAGGGATCACTCCTGGCTGGCTCAAGGGACTGTATGGGATACCAAGAATTGAACTTGGGTTCTTGTGCAAGGCAAGTGCCCTACCAACTTTACTGTCGCTCTGGCCCCCAACACAGAAAGTTTTTATCAAAAGTTATTTAAAAAGATATGAAGGGAGAGAAAGAGAGAAGTACGTGTTTAAGAGAGAACACAGGCTTCTATAGCAAAGAAATGTAGAGACAAACGAGATACCAGTTGAAGGGAGAACACAGGCCTGAAGAGCGAGCCATATTTTGTTTCATATCCCTGCATAAGAACCAGTAGTCAAGGAAAGGAAGGAGTGCTCATAGGAAGGTTTTCATCTTTTGTTTCCTGCATGGTGCTGGTCTCTTTGTGCATGTGACATGCGTGCTCTACCTGTGAGTCTTGTCTCTGCGCCTGAGTCTTTGAGATTCTCTTTTTAAGTCTTTCCTTCCGTGGTGTCTTTCCTTCCTTGACTGTTTTCTTAAGGCCTGTTCTTATAGCAAGAACTTAGAAAAATGGGGCCAGAGAGATAATTACTCTGAGTAAAGCACTTGCCTTGTGTGTCACCGACCCAGGTTTGATCCCCAGCACCCAGTGTCCCTCGAGCACTACCAGGAGTGACTGCTGAGTACAGAGCCAAAAGTCCTGAGAATTGCCGAATATGGCCCCCAAATCAAAAGAGTAAGAAAAATGAGTGACGTTCCAGTCCTGCTGTTTGCTTGTAAGAGAGTGTGTGCTTACTCAGACCCTAAGAGAAGGTTAAGAACAGGTCCCTTCTAAAACTTTTAGGGGCCAAAGCAATAGTACAGCAGGGAGGGTGTTTGCCTTGCATGCAGCTAACCCTGGTTCGATCCCTGGCATCCCATATGATCCTCTGAGTACCAGCACGAGTAACTCCTGAATGCAGAGTCAGGAGTAATCCCTGAGCATTGCAAGGTGTGATCCAAAAAGTGTCCCCCCCCAAAAAAAAATAAAATAGTCTTAGGGCCAGGGCTAGAGAGATAGTACAGGGGGTAGGACAGGGGGTAGGGTGCATGCCTTGCATGCAGCCAACCTGGGTTTGATCCCCAGCATCCCATATAATCCCTCAGAGTGATTTCTAAGTACAGAGCCAGGAATGACCCGTGAGCACCAGGTGTGGCCGAAAAAACAAAAGAGTTTAGGACTAGAGGGGTAAAATAGGGGGTAAAGCACTGTCTTGAATTTCATCCAACTTAGGTTGATCCCCAGCATCATACGCATTTAAGAATTTGTGATTTTTAGGCCACATGCAGCCGGTGCTAAGGATTGACGCCTGTTACTGTGCTCAGATTACTCCAGAGCATTCTTGGAACTACAGGAGTTCAAGAAATCAACCATGTGTCAACTGCATGCAAAGAAAGTGTCTTAGTAATACCTATCTGACTCCTTTATTTCTTGGGGGACAGTGGTTGAGACCATACCGGTGGTTTCTTAAGGATCACTTCTGGTAGACACAGGGACCATATGGAGACCCCAAACAGGCAGATTCCTCATCAGGCTGCCAGACACTCTCTCCTTCACAATGAACCTACTTCGCCGTTCCTTCCAGGCTGCGGGCAGAATCCCGTTCGACAGGCCAGCATAGGTGCCGGAATTCCCATCTCCGTTCCAGCCTGGAACTGCCAGATGATCTGCGGCTCTGGCCTCAAAGCCGTGTGCCTGGCACTGCAGTCAATACGAGTGGGAGACGCCCGCATCGTGGTTGCAGGGGGCATGGAGAACATGAGCAGGGTAAGGATGGCAGTGCAGCCGTGTCCTGCTACTGCGAACCCCCATTGGAGCGAAACCGCACACATGGCTGTGAGTCATGGCCAGAGGCCCCCGATCAAAACGGTGCTGTAAAACACAGTGCAAACATTTATAACACTGTAGCACTATCCTCCCGTTGTTCATCGATTTGCTTGAGCGGGCACCAGTAACGTCTCCATTGTGAGACTTGCTGTTACTGTGTTTGGCATGTTGAATATGCCATGAGGCGCTTGCCAGGCTCTGCCGTGCAGGCAGGATACTCTCTGTAGCTTTCGGGGCTCTCTGAGAGGGACGGAGGAATTGGACCCCTGGCCGGCCTCATGCGAGGCAAACGGCTTACCTGCTGTGCTATCGCTCCAGCTGGAAAAAAAAAAGTTCTTTCGAATGGGCAGCCCTCTTCCCCATCCCAAGAGGAAGCCCTCTCTTCAGGCTCTTCCATGTCTTGAGCCTTAAGTCTTGCAAACATATATATGTCACAGATGTGTATGGATTCTGCCTTGAGCCCTCCAGACTCTTCACTCTCCTCCACATTGGGTGGGAAATCTTCTGGAAGAAACCTATCGGCCAGAGTCTCTTATGTTCTCGAATGATTCCTGAAGCGTGGACCACTTCAGCTGGGATTTGGGACTTCTCTGTGTTTGTTGTTATTTTGTGAATCAGGATGAGCCCAGGCAACACACACGTTACCTGGGAGCTATATCCCTGGACTCAGAATTCTATCTCATTTCAGGGAAAAATAGACTCAGGCTGTGTCTGACCTGCCCGAGATGGCTGGCTCCTGGGAGTTTGTTCAGCCTCTGGGGTACTAGAAGGCGGGAAAGGACTGCAGGGACCCCACACTAGAGTTTTCCGGGTAGGTTTTGTTCCCCAGGTGGGTGTGGTTCCAGTCTCGGGTGCCCAGTGTTAAATGGACCATGGGGCCTCCCCTACGGTAGCTAGGACAAAAGATGGGGTCCCAGAAGGGCCAGGAGCTGCGCTGACACTGGCCACTCTCCTGTGGCCCAGAGCCGGGACTGTCATCGGAAATGATCCATGGGAGGTGTCAGCACCCTGCGCAGGGGAGCTGGGTCCCCGCCTTGACTCTGGCTAGGAAGCACATAGGGTGTGTGGGTGTCTGTTCGTGGTGCGAGTCTGGGAGAGCCGAGTTTTCTTTGCTCTCCCCTGAGGGAGCCTGAATTGGCTCTCGGAGGAGAGCGACTCCCTGCCCCCCGCGCCCCACTGACTCAGTTCAAAGGCTCCTCCAGCTGCCCAGCCCATCTGTGGCTGTGCCCTGCTCTGATGCTGTCCCAGGGCCTCCATGCCCTGGGCTCTGGTGTGTCCAGACCCCTTTGAGATTGTCCCACAGTCCCCAAACCAGGGCTGTGAGGTCCAGCACAAGCCCCGTGGGGAAGCCACTGCATCAGGCAGAGGTCACTGAGCTGCAGACTGCCTGGAGCTGCGTGCTGGCTCTCACAGTCACTGTGAGCAGTCATCGCGCTTCTTGTGGCCCCGGGCACATCCTGGAGGCCACGTTAGCTCACTATGGTCTGGATGGGCATCCTGCCCATCCCATCCCGGGTCCCTGCCATAGTCCTCGGTGGGTTCCAAGCCTCTCCCATTGAGTGTCCCGCGTTGCGGCCCCCTACTGCCACTGACAGTGCCAGGTGGTGCCTGTCTTCACCCAGAGTGTCCTTGCTGGCCTCACTGTGCCTCAGTGCCCCGTGTGCGTTTCCCAGGTGTCAGGAGAATGGACCAGGTGGTCCTGCTGAAGGCCTGGCTCCTGGGCCGAGATGGGGCTCTGTGTGCGCCCCGCCCCTCAGGGAGTTGCTGTGTTGAGGGCTGTCCCGTCTGGATTGCAGGGTAGATGAAGGCTGACCCCACCCCTCGGAGGGAGACACATGGGGAGTGCGGCTGAGTGTGTCAGGTGGGCCCTGAGCGGGGATGCCCCGGGATTCTGGGTGAGATGTTACGCAGGAGCAGGAGCGAGCACAGCTGTGCTTCTCCCCACCCTGTCCTTGGAAGCGGCCTGTCCCATCCACCCCCCTGCTAGGGTCAGCGGTGTCTGTGGGCACGTTGCTCCTCTTCCTCCATCTTCCCCTCCCCCTCCATCCGTTGCTCATTTTGTTCCTTGGTCCCTGCTCTGGACCCAGACCTCCGCCTTCATTGTGCCACTCCGGTGCCCCTGTGCCGACCCGGGGAGTTTGAGTGAGCCCCTTGGAGCGCTGTGAGGTGCCCCTGATTTCACTGGCCCTGTGCTTCTCCCTCCAGGCCCCGCACTTTGTCCACCTGCGGACGGGAGTGAAGCTCGGGGAAATGCCCCTGAGCGACAGCATCCTCTGTGATGGGCTCACTGATGCCTTCCTAAACTACCACATGGGCATCACAGGTGCGTGGAGAGAATGGGGGCTCAGCAGGGGACAGGGACTCAAGTACTTCCTGGTGAGTGTGAGACCATGAGGTCAAATCAGGGGCCACCAGTATGTAGTGATGTAAATGTGACAGCTGTCCTGGCCCACAGCACCCAAGAACTGAGGGGGGAATAATGGGTGCTCACATGTTATTGCAGTAGCTGCACATTCTGTGCTGGGGAGGCTCGTGGTCTCAGGGCAGCTCTGGTGGCCTGAGATCCTAGTGGCCCTGCAAAGGGTTTTTCTTAGTGGGACCCAAGCCCCTTCCCGTCGTGCTTACTCTATCACTTTTTCTTCCACAGCGGAAAATGTAGCCAAAAAATATCAAGTGAGTCGCGAAGAGCAGGACAAGCTGGCAGTCCTGTCCCAGAACCGCACGGAGAGCGCGCAGAAGGCTGGCCATTTTGACAAAGAGATTGTGCCCGTGTTCGTGCCATCGAAGAAAGGTGGGCACTGAGTCCACGTGGGCCACACCCAGACGGGGGTCCTGCTGCGCGTGTGAGGGCCATTGAGGGCAGGGGGTTTGGGGTGCCGAGCGAAGCGCCCTCTCAGTGCGTGTGAATCCGTGCTGGGCTGGGGGTCCGGGGAGGGGCCGGTGGCCATAAGCCACTCTGGGTCCTGATGTCCACGCTGCCGTGTGGACCCCGAGCTTTCCTGAGCAGCCGGAGCGTGGGGCCACAGCTGCGAGCGGACTGGTGCCCTCCAGGGGGACTCTCGGGAGTGTTGTTTCTGGGTCCCTCCCTGCTGCTCTGGGTGACCTGGCCAGGGCCGCACTGTGTCTCCGTCGGTTGCGTTACTGAAACATGTCTGTGCTCCTCAGTCGTTATCCGATTGGCTTCGACATCCCCGTGGCCGTCTGTTGAAACCCGCCACGTCCTGCACCCCACACCATGGTCACCTTTGCACAGGGAACAAGGATGCCTGTCACTGCTTTGCCGAGAAAGGGCTGTGGGCCTCAGGCCCTCGAGGCTCCCGAGACAGTGTGTGCAGGGGATAGGCCTACGCTTCTGGCTCTGTGCACTTCCTGCTGCTGCCATGGAACCTTCTTTGTGCAGATCGGAATCCTCGGGTCCCGGGACTGAGGGGCGTGCTGTCCCGAGCGCACGTCTCTAGACTAATGAGGGTCATTGATTTGCCTCCTTGCAGGTCTCACTGAAGTGAAAATGGATGAGTTTCCTCGACACGGTAGCAGCCTTGATGCCATAAGCCAGCTAAAGCCTCACTTCCTGAATGACGGGACAGGAACAGTGACCTCTGCAAATGCTACAGGTTGGGGTTTCTGATTGTGTTCTCGAATATTCTTTTTTTTGAAAGGAGAGTATTAGGAACCATTTATTAATAACATGCACCTGCTTTACATGGACATGACCTAGCCAAATGTGTCAGTTGTCGTCTATTTCTAGTGGCTTCTTTTAGGAAACTTATTTCTCCGCCCTTCTCGGAGAGCCCGGCAAGCTACCAAGAGTATCTCGCCCACACAGCAAAGCCTGGCAAGCTACCCATGATGTATTCAATATCCAAACACAGTAACAATAAGTCTCACAATGTTGATGTCACTGGGCCCACTCGAGCAAATCGATGAACAGCGGGAGCACAGTGACAGTGATAGTGAGAGCAGGGCTCATTGGAACCAGCAGAAAGCCGTTCAGGGAAGTAACTAGAAAAATAACTGTCACACAGGGGAAGTCACCTTTTAGTTACAGTCACATCAAGCCTTGCAGGGAGACATCCTTAAGGGGAGGCTGACAGGCAAAGTCTCATTTTCAAGTCAACCTCTGTATGTCCGTAGGGTCCCTCCCATGAAATCAGTCTGTGCAAAATTAGGCATCCTGTTTGATTTCTGTTTTGGGGCCATGCCCAACTCTGCTTAAGGGCTAACTCTTGAGTCTGTGCTCAGGGATCACTCCTGGCAATGCTCAGGGCTCCGTATGCAGTGTCAGATCAAACCAGTGTCAAGGTCAGCGCCTGTATTATCTCTCTGGCCAAGGCAGTGTTTTGGCGATAGGTTTGTACTTCCCTCTATTAGTCTCACTGGTTTTAGCTAGTTTCCCACTTTATTAATTCTGATGCCTGAATTTTTGTTCTTCTTTTGTTTTTGGGCTGGAGCAATAGCCAATATCACAATGGTGAGGTTGCTGGGCCCACTCGAGCTAATCAATGAACAATGGAGGACAGTGCTACAGTGCTTTTTTTTGGGAAACACCCAGTGAAGTCCAAGGGTTACTCCTGGCTTTGCCCTCAGGAATTACTCCTGGCACACATGGAATGCCGGAAATCAAACAGGTTGGCGGTGTGCAAGGCAAATGCCCCCGCTGTTGAACTCTCACTCGAGCCTCTGCTGTCTAAAGTTTCAAGTCACCTTCGAGTGATTTGCTTATCTGTGTCCTTCCTACTTCAGTGAAAGAAATTTCCTTCCCATGTCTGTTGCACTGGCTGGGATTGGCTGGAGGAACTGACCCAGTGTCACACTGGTGCCCGCAGCGAGGCTTGTTATCTTCACGTGTGTCACTGCCTGAGTGACCTATTGGCTGGCACAGGACACTGCACTCAGGCTGCCCTCAGGTCACTGCAGTGCAGATATGCTTCAGGGGACTTGCTTTCTATTGGGATGCGGGCATTAAACCCCATGCTCAGATTATTTGGGGGAAAAACAATTTAGCACAACCTTGGAGATTAACAGGTTTCCTCACTTTAGAATTTGTCATCTGGAAATGTCAGTGAACGCCATGCTTTTTTAAAACGTTTAGGCACCCTGCTTGACAATATGGTGGATGTTTCAGGAATACAGTGCTGCTAGATTACAGCCAGCACCACCTTCTCACGATCCTCTCTGGATTGGCAGACTCTCGACATCTATTCTCTTAGTCCACTGTTTACTCCCTGCCTGTGTGTATCAATTCTTTCAGGGGCGGCCGGGTGGAGGCCCAACAGCTCTCCCGTGGGCTCCGGGCCGCTCACCCAGCCGGGGCAGCCTGGGCCATGGGGCAGTGGAGGAAACGAGGGCCAAGCCGTTTGATTGATCAGATGCCGTTTATTCCATTCTCCCCATGCGCCTGCCCCAGTCTCCCTGAGCTAGCCAGATCAACATAAGAAAGCCCTTCCTGAGGGCCCACCAAGTTCAAAGGGAACACCACCTAAAATGTATTCCAAAGCCCTTCCTGACTGCCCAAGGGCAAAATACCTCCAAAGGTGTTTTTCTCCTCTCCTCAGTCCAATAACTCTATCAACATCTTAATACTGGTTATTTTTGTATGGACACAGCAAGAGATAATATTGAGGCTTGTAGGGCAGCTCTCCTGAGAACATCCTGCCACGGACTCAGACTACAGCAATCAGGTCAGATTAATCATTCCTAACCCTAGCAGGGTCCGAATCTAGTTATTACATTTTGGATCATGAAAGCATTTGTCCGTGACCAGCCTCTTAACTTATAGTTAAGCACTATGGCGCTTTGGCCAGGCCCATCTCGATGCCAGGATAGCACATAGCTTACCGCTTGCCCTGGTTCCATCCAGTCCCTCGTCGGGACCCTGCTTTTGGGGTTGCTGCTTTTGGGGGCGCTAGGAAGTAAGGGCGGCTGAGCCTTAGTTCGAGAGAACAGATGCCCAGGAGGAAAATATCACTGAGAGTCACGTTACAAATGCATAGCATATACATCTTGTGTCCATACAAAAAGGACATTGCTCTGAATAAACTATGCAAAGGACTTAGGGAGACGAGAAAAACAATATTTACGAGTCAACAGAGCACAAAGAAGTTACAAATAAACACAGAGGAATGGGAGCAACCCAATAAACCTAAACTATCTGAGGCAATGCAGGAAGGACAAAAACAGTATTATCCTACACCTGTGTTTCTTATAAGCCATGCCTGAGACATGAGTAGGAATTTCGCAGTCTTTTGCTCCACTTCACTCAGCATGGTACTCTCTATTTCCATCCAAGTGGAGTGTGAACTGCCACCTGTCTTATTCAGTAACTATTCATGTAGCACTGTAGCACTGTCCTCCCGTTCATCAATTTGCTCGAGCAGGCCCAGTAACGTCTCTATTGTGAGGCTTGTTGTTACTGTGTTTGGCATATCGAATACGTCACGGGGAGCTTGCCAGGCTTTGCTGTGCGGGCGAGATACTCTCAGTAGTTGTCGGGCTCTCCGAGAGGGGCGGAGCAATCGAACCCGGGCCGGCCGCGTGCAAGGCAAATGCCCTACCGCTGTTCTATCGCTCTAGCAACTATCATGATTTAATATAAAATCTTTAGTTGCTTAAGGGAAGTGTTATAGTTCCTCTATATTTGATCATTGCATTGATCCTCATTTTTGATTGATGTAAGCTGTATATACTGTGAGTTGTCTGATTTCCTGACATAAAGACGGAAAATTAAATATAGAACAATAACTTATCAACTGCATTTCCAAAACAGAAACTCACAGAAACTACTGTAAAAGAAGTACTCTCTGTTTCTCTCTCTTTTTCTCTCTTTCTCTCTTTGTTTCTTTTATTTTTGGGCTCCACACCTGGCAGTGCTCAGGGCTTACCTCTGGTTCTGTGTTCAGGGATCACTCTTGGCGGTCTTGGGGGACTCTTCTGGTGCTAGAGATCATGCAAGGCAAGTACCTTAATGGCTATAATGTTTCTCCAACCCACATCTCCTTTTCTCCTTATATATATATATATATATATATATATATATATATATATATGCTTTTTGGGTCACATCCAGCGATGGTCAGGGGTTTGTTCTGGCTCTGCACTCAGGAATGACTCCTGGCGGTGCTCGGGGGACCATATGGGATGCTGGGGATCGAACCTGGGTCAGCCACATGCAAGGCAAACGTCCTACCTGCTGTACAATAGCTCCAGCCCCTCCTTTAGTTAATTTTGTAGTCAGCCGTCGTATTGTGCTTTGCCGAGACATGCGAAGCACAGTTGTGGTCCTACCTCGTGGTCCACAGTATTATGGAGCTGGGTTAGTGAGCACTGGAGCATGAGTCCCGCCTGTCTTCCAGGAATGAATGATGGCGCCGCTGCTGTAGTTGTCATGCGGAAATCAGAAGCTGTGAATCGTGGGCTGACACCTTTAGCTCAGATTGTTTCCTGGGCACAAGAGGGTGTGGACCCTTCCATCATGGGACTAGGACCCATTCCAGCTATCAAGCAAGCTGTGAGTTTCTGTTCGTTTGTGTGTCCTTTGCTCTGGATGGAACGTGTCTGGGATGAGACCAGTAACTTGGAATGCCCTTCTGTGACCTTTGCTCCCATCTCCTTTCTACTCCCCAGCGCCAAAAAGGAGCAATGTGTTCATCCTTTGGCGCAGGTTAACTTTGCTCTCCCTTTCAGAGCACATACTTTGTCCTTGTTAGTTTTACCAGTTTGAATTAAGTGTTGATTTCACCATGTTTCCATTGTGAGTAGCCAGGATTTCAAAATGTATCTTGTGTGGGAGTCTCTGTTCTAGAATGTCTAGTACTTTGAGATAATTAATGTTGCTGGTTGAAAACTTTAGATACTTTAGAATTTCCTAGGGCTGTTTCATCCTTAACCTTTTGAAATGAGTCATCACGGGAAAAGGTGAGATTTATTAGGCCAGTGCAAAGTGGCAGTTTCCAGAGATCTGGTTTTCATTTTTGTTTTTTTTTGGACCACACACTACCTGTGCTCAGACTTATTCCTGACCCTGTGCTCAGGAATCATTTCTGGTGAGGGTTGGAGAACCATATGGTGAGCTGGCGGTCGAATCCGTATTGGCAGCATGCAAGACAGGTGGTCCATGGGGCTGGAGTGATAGCACAGCGGGGAGGGCGTTTGCCTTGCACGCAGCCGACCCGAGTTTGATCCCCAGCATCCCATAGGGTTCCCTGAGCCCTGCCAGGAGTAATTCCTGAGTTCAGAGCCAGGAGTGACCCCTGAGCATTGCTAGGTGTGACCAAAAAAGAAACAAAGACAAGACAAGTGGTCCACCCGCTGTGCTGTCTGTCCAGCCCCACTGTTTGTTTTGCTTCTGCAGTGCCAGGGGATTAAACTCAGGATTCCCCATGTACACGTAATCCCGTGCTGTACACCATTGGCTCACCTCCCCGGTACTTAGAGCTGCTTCTGACTCAGTACTCGGCAGTACATCCTGCTTCACACCTGCAGTGGGGAGGGAAAGTTCTGCCAAAGCTTTTAGACCTCAAACCTATTCACTTTCTTCCAGGTTGCAAAAGCGGGTTGGTCCCTGAGTGATGTGGATGCCTTTGAAATCAACGAAGCGTATGCTGTGCTCTCCGTGGCCATAACGAAGGAACTGGGATTAGACCCGGGGAAGGTAAGTGGGAATGAGCAGTTCCCAGAGCGAGAGCAGGGCGGCAGGAGGCAGAACCCAGGCACCGGCCGAGGTGGGGGTTAGACAGTGCTGGGCCTCTGGGGGCTGGGGGCGCCCCCTTCCTGCACCTCCTCCCTCTTATATTCCGTTCCTCATGGCCCTTGTACGGGAAGGAGCCCCGGGGGAGAGGTCAGTGCAGGTGATGGGATACACTGGTGTCCTCAGCAAGGACAGTGACAGGCGTGTGAAAGGGTCAGAGGTGAGCAGCATGGTTGGGGATGGGGGGGGCTCTGTCTGCCTCCCGTGTGAGGGGTGTGTGGGGAGACGGTGGTCGGGGCCAGATCCCTTCATGCAGGGCCAGAAGGATGTCGTGTGCTTCCCCCTCAGGTGAACATGCAAGGAGGGGCGATCGCCTTGGGCCACCCCCTGGGAGCATCTGGCTGTCGGATTCTCGTCACCCTGCTGCACACTCTGGAGCGCACGGGGGGCCGTCGCGGGGTCGCCGCCCTGTGCATCGGGGGCGGGATGGGAATAGCCATGTGTGTGCAGAGAGGCTGAGCGTCAGCGTGCACTTCTGCCCTGAAGCTGCCTCAGAACGGAGTGAGGATGGACGCCACCCCGCGAGTCAAGAACCCAGGCCTGTCAGCTTCTTGTTCTTTTAATGTGTAACACGCAAGGTACGGGACAGGGGTGTCTAACATGGTCATAAATAAAAGCGGGCTCAGTCATCAAGGGCGCCCGAGTGGACGGCATCTTCGTAACCTCCGTGCTTATCGTCTTTGCTTTCTGGGTTTAACTTAATCAGTTCATTGATGCAAAGAATAGTTATTACGATTTCAGTTGCACCCTTGTAACTTTTTTTCTTTTTGCAATGCCTAGGGGTTACTTCTGACTCTGCACTCAGGAATTACTCCTGGCATTGCTCAGGAAACCGTATGGGATGCTGGGCCTCGAACTTGGGTCAGCCACATGCAAGGCAGACGCCCTAACAGCTGTGCTGTCTCTCCAGCCCCACACTTGCAACTTTTTCAGTGGGAGGGCGCCACAGTGGGCTGTGCTCAGGGATTATTCTTGGCTTTGCACTCAGGGATCACTCAGGGAACCTTATGTGGTCCTGGAATGCAAACTGGGTCTAGCTGTGTGCAGAGTAGGCAGCATATCAAGCACTTACTTACTACATTATCCTGTCAGCTGCTGAACTTTAAACTTACAGCTTAAGGATAACATCTGGCTATACTCAGGGCTTATTCCATGCCCTGAGCTCAGGGATCACTGTTGATGGGACTTGGGGGACAATGAGAACCAATTCCTGCCTGCTGTAATATTTCTCTGGCCCCAAACTGCAAACTTGGTTTGGTTTTGGGGCCACACCCACTGATGCTCAGGGCTTACTCCTGAATAACTCTGTATTCAGGAGTTATTTCTGACCGAGCTTGGGGGCCCATATGGTAAACTGGGGATTGAATCCCTCAGCTGAGAGTGAGGCGATCACCCTACCTCTGTACTATCATTTCGCTCCGAAACTGCAAACTCTTTTTTTTTTTGCTTTTTGGGGTCACACCTGGTGATGCACAGGGGTTACTCCTGGCTCATGCACTCAGGAATTACTCCTGGCGGTGCTCGGGGGACCATATGGGATGCTGGGAATCGAACTCGGGTTGGCCGCATGCAAGGCAAACGCCCTACCCACTGTGCTATTGCTCCAGCCCCCAAACTGCAAACTCTTAATCTGAACTTTGGTTGGTCCAACATACCCGCTTGAGGCTGGAGTGACAGTACAGTGGGTAGGGTGTTTGCCTTGCCCCCTCAGGAGTAATTCTCAAGTGCACAGCCAGGAGTAACCCCTGAGCATCTCTGGGTATGACCCAATAAGCCCTTGCCCCCCAAAAAAGAAGAACAAACACCCTTGCATTGACCAAAACAAGACCAATCCTGAAGTCATGCTAGAACAAAATACCAACGGGTAGTTGTCCTCCCTCACACACTTCACTCTCATGTGTTTAGAGGATTTGGAATCTCATTCACTCCAGACTCCTATGCTGGGGGAATATTAGGACACCAAAGTGGTTGAGTAAGAATCAGTACTGAATCTGTTGTAAACAGTTAGAAAGTAATCTTCCCTTTTTTCTTCTTTTCTTCCCCTCCCCCATGGGTTTTTGGGTCATACCCAGCATTGCTCAGGATATACTCCTGGTTCTGTGCTCACAAGTCACTCAGTTTGGGGGACCATATGGGATGCTGGGTCAGCCACATGCAAGGCACACACCTTCCCCACTGTACTATTGCTCCAGTCCCAAAAATAATCTTTTTAAATATTATTTAATAACCTGTCATAAAGGGCTTGCATAAAAATGGGCCATTGACTGTTGCCTCATTGCATCCTAGATAGTGAGATGATCCCAGTCCCTCTTGGGCCAGTGAACACTGGGGCAGGCCGCCAGCTCAGGCCACATAAGTTCAGACCTGCCTGGTGAGATACAGACTGAGGAATCACTCCTGGCAGGGTTTGGGGCACCATATGGTTTGGCCGAGAGGGATTCTGTACGGGCTGTGAGCAAGACAAGTGCCCTACCTGCAGTACTATAACTCCAGCCCCAGGAACCTCTTATTATTATAACTTTGTTTTTGACCACACTTGGTGGTACTTAGGGGTAACTCCTGCCTCTGCACTCAGGAATCGCTCCAGGTGGGCTTGGGGGACCAGAAGGGATACTGGGGATAGAACCTGTGTCAGCTGCGTGCAAGGCAAAAGCCTCTCCAGCTTTACTATCTCCAGCCCGCCAGCCTCTTATTTTGGTCCTCTTAGGAGTGGAGTGTGTAAGGACCCAGTAGTGATGCTCGGCAGATACTCTCCACTCTGCCAGGGTTTCCCTTCTGGTGGTGCGCAGGGGCTGAATCCAGGTGGGACCCCTCCATTCTGAACATGTGCCCAGCCTGTTCAGCTATCTGAGCTGCCGTCTCTGGACCCATTTTCTCTGAGAGGGTGAGAGGGTGTGTGTTTCTGGGCGAGACCCAGCAATGCCAGGAGTCACTCCCGGCTGTCCTCAAGGGACCATATGCAGTGCCAGCAGTTAAGCCAGTTTTAGCAGTAAGACCTTAACTCCTGTAAAGTCTCTGCCCTCCCACCCCACTTATTTTGTTTGCGTTTTTTGGTCACATCAGCAGTGCTCAGGGTATATTCCTTCCTGGCTCTGTGCCAGAGAGCTCTCCTGGCAGGGTATGGGGCACCACATATGGTGCCAGGGATCGAACCCAGGTAAGTAATATGCAAGGCAACCATGCAAGTGCTATAACTTCTCTGCTACCTCTTAGGCCCCAAAGACCCCCACTTTTTAGTGCACCAGTGAATCCAGCTTTTTAGACAATGAGCACCTTAAAAGCTTAACTTTGGGGCTGGAGCAATAGCACAGCGGGTAGGGCGTTTGCCTTGCATGCGGCAAACCCGGGTTCGATTCCCAGCATCCCATATCGTCCCCTGAGCACCGCCAGGGGTGATTCCTGAGTGTAGAGCCAGGAGTAACCCCTGAGAATCGCCAGGTGTGACCCAAAAAAAAGAAAGAAATAAAAAAAGCTTAACTTTGCCCCAGGACTGTGGCCTGGTTTATGGGGCCGGTGAGAAGAACAGAACAGCTCACCTCAAGCAGCTTGAGTAAGAAGCATTAGGGCTGGAGCCGTCGTGCAGCTAATAGGGTGCTGACCCTGCACACTGCTGACCTGGGTTAAATCCAGGCACCCCGTGTAGTCCTCCAGGCCCACCAGGATTCAGCCCTGAGCACAGTCGGGCGTGCCCAAAACAAGAAGAAACAAAGTCAGAGGGCGGCCAAATGAATCCAGGGCTCTGAGGCATTAGGCTGAGCACCTGCTGGCTCAGAGTTCTGGCGGGCACACGCTTCCGTGCCCCACAACCTCCAAGTAAGTGACTGAGGCTCCTTTTCTCTAAACACTAAAAGGAAGCTAAGAGGAATTCGTGGAGCAGTTTGGAGGCTGGCGAGCGATTGCGAGATCTTCCTGGACTCATGAAAACACGCAAGGCCCATTCCTAACGGCCCTGCCATTCCAGTTACCCTGGCTGTCCGATGGTTACACTGTGCTCAGACACACCCGGCTGGTATTGACCGTGCCTTGCTCCTCTATTCTTCTCACAGGTGCCCTTTGTGCAGAGAGACTCTGTGATCTCTGGAGTCGCACAGCCCTGGGGGCCCGTGACATCTCTAGGAGGATTAACCTGCCAGTTCACTAACGTTTGAACTGGATCCAGTCCCCAATGAAGGAGTCTAGAGGTTTGAGAGCTCGGTGACGGAGCTGGCCTTAGCCACTTGCAGCCCTTGCACCCTCGGGTTCCCGAGGGCAGGTCCTCGGCTCTGCAGGAAGGCGCTGTCCCCTCCCCCCCTCCCTGGTAGGGCTTTGCAGGCTCCGTGCACGAGATGCAAAGGGCGCGCAGTGCTCCAACGAAGTCCTAAACAGGAGTCACCCCGGAAAGGAAAGCAGGATTATGGGCTAACAAAAAAACGTAGAGAAATTTTGTCAGCCACGTGCCTGCAGAACCGCCTTAAACCCACAGTGCCTCGCGGCGGTATCCCGGGCTCTGGCGTGGTCACGGTGACTCCGGGCGATCAAAACCCAATTCGGCCCCCGGCCCCCGGGAGCGACACCGTCCCAGAGGAGGCGAACGCGGGCAGCGAAGACAGGGGGGTCTCAGGCACGCCCCCGCGCCCGTGCTCCTCGCGCACGCGCACGCGCCTCCGCCCGCGCTCCTTCAGGCGCCTGCGCGCCGCGGCCGTGGGCGGGGCGAGTCCCGGCCCCGCCCCGCGCCCGTCAGCGGCCCGGCCCGCGGGGGCTGGTTTTTCTCGCCGACGGCGCGGGACCCGGCCAGTGCGGCAGCTGGACGTGCGGCAGCATGAGTGCAGGCGCGGACCCCGTGGTCATCGTGTCGGCGGCGCGCACCGCCATCGGTGAGTGGCCGCGGCCCCCGCGGGTTGCGAGCGCGGGTCCGGGGTCCGGCCCGGCGGCGGCGGCGGCGGCGGCGGAGCCCCCCGCCCCCGCGCCTCGCGCCTCCCGGGGGCCTCGGGCAGCCCCGCGCCCTCCCGTGGCGGAGCCCCGCCCACCCGCGGCTGCGATTGGCCGGCCGGGTAGAGCCATCGCCCCGCGCGGCGCTCCCATTGGCCGGCCGCGCAGAGGCGGTGTCTCGCGAGGGCGCTGATTGGCCGGCCCGGGCAGGGCCAGCTCAGCGCAGAGGCGGCGGCGGGCGGAGCGAGCGGGTGGGCCGAGGGGCCGCGCGGGGTGGGCGGCGGCCGGGGCCGGAGCGACGCGGGCTCGGCACAGCCCCTGGGCCGGGGGTCGGCCGGCCCGCGGCTCCGGAGGGGCGCGGGGCGATGGGCGGGGCCCGCCACCCTCACCCGCCCGGCGCCCCCTTGTGCCCTAGGTTCATTCAATGGGGTCCTGGCCACGGTTCCCGTGCACGAGCTGGGCGCCACCGTCATCAGGGAAGTCCTGAAGAGGGCCGCCGTGGCGCCCGAAGACGTGTCCGAGGTCATCTTTGGACACGTGCTGGCCGGAGGTACCTGCCCGACGCGCGCGGGTCGCGCCCCCCGATGCCCCCCGTCGGTGCCCGCCGCCCTCCCCCGGTGGCCCCAGCCCTGCTCTCACCCTTCCCACACTGACCTAGAGCAGAAACTTCAGAGACTTCTCTGCAGGAGAAATCCTTTCCCAGGAAATCCTTTTACAAAACCTGGGGCTAGGTTTATGATATTGTTTTAGATGGTGTCCAGTCAAACATTGAGATCTTAGGGAAGTGGTCTAGGGATCTGACATCCGTGTGCAAATCAAACATTGACAATAGATCCGT